AGTGCTACACTGGCTAGCACTATGGATGTAAGGGACTTGAGGGTCATGATTGAGCACAAGATGAACATGAGCCTTCAATGTGATGCTGTGGCTAGTAAAGTGAGAAAACGCTGGCTTGCTTCCATAGATGCTTCTCAAGCAAATCCCAGGACGTCATTCTCCTGTTGTACTCGGCCTTGGTGAGGCCGCAGCTGGAGTACTGCGTCCAGTTTTGGGTTCCACAATTCAAAAAGGATGTGGAGAAGCTTGAGAGAGTCCAGAGAAGAGCCACGCGCATGATCAGGGGTCAGAAAAACAGACCTTATGACGAGAGGCTGAGAGCTATGGGACTCTTCAGCCTGGAAAAGCGCAGCCTCAGGGGCCATCTGATAGCCACCTATAAGTTTATCAGGGGTGTTCACCAGGATGGGGGGAATGTTTGTTCACCAGAGCACCCCAAGGGATGACAAAGTCGAATGGTTATAAACTCCTGCAAGACCGTTTCAGGCTGGACAGAAGGAAAAACTTCTTTACTGTCCGAGCCCCCAAGGTCTGGAACAGATTGACATTGGAGGTGGTTCAAGCACCTACTTTGAACTCCTTCAAGAGAAATTTGGACGCTTATCTTGCTGACATCTTATGACCCAGCTGACTTCCTGTCCCTGGGGCAGAGGGCTGGACTCGATGATCTTCCGAGGTCCCTTCCAGCCCTAATGTCTATGAAATCTAATGTAAACCTCAACATTGTACCAGATCAAAACCCATGGTTAGCAGGTGTTAGATGGTGGAGGAGGAGAAGAAAGGGGACTTTGCATGTTTAGTGCCTTGGGCATTTGCCCAGAGAGCAGGAGACTTGTATTCTAGGCCCCCCCCATCCAGAAGGGCATTACCCAGGCCCTTCTCCAGTCTTTCTCTTGAGCTGGCTTCCTGGGCAGACAAGAAAGGGAGATATAAGGGGCCCAAGAGAAAGGAAACAGGCCAGAGGATCTGTGACTCTGTACAGGCGCCATCTACAAATGATGCTATGTTGCCATAGTGACGTGCCATTGCGACATAGCTCATTGCTATGGCAATGTAATGTCAGTGGGCACAAACTGTGACGCCAATGCTACGTTGCCACAGCAATGAGCTACCTCACTAGAGCATGTCGCTACTGTGACATAGGTGCTAAAAATAACTGTGCGCCTCCAGGATGGTGCAGAAATGGCTGTTAGTCCACCGCCATTCAGTACTTTGTAAAGCAAATACTAAATAACGGTGCAGTAACAACTGTGCTGTGGGGGGCACGCATAGATGCCCCCAGTACAATGGATGTGCTACTCTTGTTACCCTGCCTAAGCCTTTGCTCCCAGGGGGGCAGTAACTTTCCCACTGTTCTCTACCAGTTTTATCCAATGAATAGTGAATGCAAGGGCAGAGGATCAGCTTCAAGAGGAAATCTGGAGAGATGATTTGATAAAGCCTAAGCTATGACTTGGTGGTTAGAGTGCCTATGTTGGGAAGCAGGAGGTACAGCTTCAAGCCCCCTCTGGATTGTGGGAGGCCTGCAGCTTGGGTCTCCTGCTCCTTGGCCAAGTGCCCCGATCACTAGGTTCTTGAGCTGAAGCATTGGAGGAGCTGCCCCCCACCCCAGCCATTTTGCTTCAGTAAGTATACACACAGGGTCAAATCTGTGTTACCGCAGAGCAAACTAGAATGTCTCCATGCCATTTAGGTGCATAAAGTGAAATAAGAATCTGCCCTTTAATTTTTTGTGGACAAGAGATGAAGATTAAAAGTGTTTTGTGGTTTAAAAGTGTCATATCCTCCTTTGTGGCTTAGTTCAGTCTGTTTCCCCCCTCTTTCTCTAATGTTCTGTATTCCTCTATCACGGGAGTGCTCAAACCCTGGCCCACAGACCAGATCTAACTGGTCTGTCTGCCTCACAGGGCTGTCCATGGGCCAGAAAATCTGGTGGTGGGGGAGTAGTGTCATCATAACTGCCTGTCCCCTACTACCAAATTTCTGGACCTGTGGGGAGGCCTGTGGGCTGGAGAGCATGGCTCTGCCCACTACATTGGGTGGGCAGAGTAGCACAAGGTCTGATCCCGGTGTGGAGGGCTGGGAGAGGCAGTGTGGGGTTCAAGCCTTGTACATGTGGCCCAATCTGGCCTGCAGATCAGCCTCGTGCCACTCACCAGGCGGCAGGGTCAAAACTTTGAGTACTACTCAATGGAAGGGTGAGATACTCCGCTGCAAACTACAGCTGTGGATGTAGGCCCATCTCACTTAAATCAGTGGGAAGTTTGATAACCAGTAATATGGATCCCAACATGAACAATGTCACACACTAAAGATAAAAGTGGATTTCCTTTATCTGCCAGGAATTAAAAGCACTGTGCCAGTTTAAAACTGGAGTGAGTTAGGTCAGAATCAGACCCAAACTCATGTCCCTTTGGAGAGTCTCAGGAATTCATCTGAGTACCTTAAGACCAAATCCAGCCCTCTGCCATTGGCGTGAACACTTGACTGCATCTGAAGGCTTAGGAAGATACTGTTGTTGTCGTGCTACAGACTTTGTAGCACTACAAAAAATAAAGTGTTATGGGTGGGCACACATAGACAGCCCCCTGGGTCAAATTGCCACAAGGCAGCTCTTCACCTAAGGAGCAATAGGGGAGCTGCTGCTTAGCACCTGCTGCCCCTAAGCCAGACAGGCCACAGACATCAGCTGGAGGCCCCTAAAGGAGAGAGGCTCCCTGCCTCTACCCCCCATGCAGGTGAACTGGGGTTGTGCTTGCAGCCACTGCTGCTACCTTGGGACCAGTCCTGTCCAGCACAGCCTGCAGCAGGGAATGGCATACTCCCCACCTCCCACCCCTGTTGCCAAGGGGGCTGTGACAACGGGAAAGGCTCCTATGGAGCAGGTGGTAAAAGCAACTTTTCCCGGGGCTCCAGGAGGCAGCTCTGGTAGCTGCAGCCTGTCCCACAAGAGCAAGGGCTTTTCCCAGGTCCCGATGGATGGAACAGTGATTCTTGCCAGTGATCTAGCTGTGAGAGTGGGACTTCTCCCTGTGGCTGTCAGAGTACAAGCAAGAGCTCTGCCTCCTTCTCTCCCACTTACAGCAGGGGGAAGGAAAGCAGGGGACTTTGGGATGCTCCTATACTTGTCCACATTCTGAATTTGTTGCGGAAAACCTTCCCAAGTCAAAGAAGTTGCTGTTTTAAATAGAAAACTTCTTGTTGTTGCAGATCTGGCATCTTGAGACTAGATTGGCCATTTTTTTAGTGGGACAAATGTGGAAGTGTGGCTGCAGGCTTTTTGTCATGCAGAAACAGCAGATTAAGTGCAACAAAAGTAACGTCTGTCTGTCTAAGGAACTCTGTCTGTCTTAAAGAACAGTAACTATGTTGAATTCTACAGAATGACTTATGATTTACATTCGTGTGGGAATGCACTCAGGTCCATTGACTATAAAGCAAGTCTAATTGTAATTTTGCAGATAGGAGCCTAGGGTTAAATTTTCAAAAAGTGTGTAAATGACCAAGAGTGATTTAGGCATGTAGGACCATATCTGTAGAGGTACTTAGGTACTCCTATTAGGCGCTTTAAAAATCCCATTAAGCCTCTATACTTTTCAAACTATAGCTCTTAGGAGCTTATGGCTTATTGAAAAGGTCTGGCTCATTGAAAGGGAACTGGCTCCTAAGTCACTTAGGAGCTTTTGAAAATTATAGGCCGTAATCCATAAAGTGCATACCACTGTATTTATGCTAGCAGTGTTCACAGATGCAAAGCCTAGTACCATCCTAATTATAGGTTATTGGAGAACCCAGCTATTTGAGTGGGATTATACAGAGTTTTAAATATGAAAGATAGATTTATAAATGGAAGCTATTGACTTTCAGCTTGTTCTTTCCAGCTTTATAATACAGTTCTGACTTGTGTCTACAAAGCCATTATAATTGATGCTCAATGTGTTCTGTTGTTTCTCCAACAAACTATCTTTGCACTAGGATCTGAATTTATAATAATTAGATTTACCTCCCAGAATAGTCTCCAGTTAACTGAGTAAGAACACACTCTTGTTACCAGACTATATTTTATTTCTGTCATGTCCTAGCACTGACATAAGTATAAATTTCAGGCACAGTACATGACATGACAAGCATTCTTCAAAGGCAAGAAGATTATCATATATAGAAATGGGCTTTAAAATCTGGTCACTCAAGCGTATGAATAGAACATATTGGAAGGCTTTGTGGGATTCATCATGTTTTGTGTTTATTCTGCTGCAAACCTAAAAATACTTTATGATCAACACCTAATCACTCTAATTGCTGAGTATTTTTAGCTTCACTTCTGCTTTTTCCAATTAGACAGAAACAAAGGGAGAAAGACCCTACAATTTTAGATTTCTAAAATTCTAAGATGAGATGGCAGAATAATTCCCACTGTGAGTGGATTTTCTCTCAGTGACAAAGTGGAAGAGTCTACACATGCAACTAATGTCCTGAAAGCTTTCCCCAGCAGGGCGTCTACGCATGCTCCCATCTGCAATTTGTTTCCAGTCAGCAGTCTACACATGCACTACTGCACAGTAGTTACTGTGGGGTTAATCTACTAGTATTTACAGGCAGTAACCAACCCTTCAGTAAACACTGCATATGTGCAGACAGTGACGCTTTACTGGCCATGTCTACATGAGAGGCTGACTGCGCAGTCATTTAGTACTTGCATACCCAGACACTAAGTAACATCCCTGCATGGCTTCCTGGTGATGCTGACTATGCAGTAAATCATTACTACTGCACAGTAGTGTCGTGTCACAGTCTGTGCCCCACAATGATACTGTGCAGTAAGCATCTCATGTAGATATGACCACTGTGTGGTAGATTAGTTTACTGCACAGTAAACTGTCTCATGTAGGCACACCCACAGAATATTTTCATCTGATCTCTATACATATTATGAATGAGTGTATCTCACAAGGGCGAAAAAATCTCTCAAGACATGGCATAAAAGAGTAAATGATCTTTTAATTACTTTTTAGAGAGTCCATTAGTAAGTGAAAATATAACCACAGATTTTTAAAATATTTTAGTGCAATAGAGAAAACCTCTCCCACAGCAAGTTTTCATGAACCAGTGAAGAAACATCTCCAGAATTGTATCTGTCTATGTGTAACCCACCAACCTGAGAGTATTAGGGAAGGTCTTACGCATCCCCATACATTTCTCCTGATCAATGAAGAGGGAGTTAGCTTTGACAGCCAGGTCATGCTCCAGGTTAGATTTAGTGTGGACCAACATCTGCAAGGTATCCTCTGCATCCCGCAACCTCTGCTGAAGGCTCTGGATTGTGTCATCAATTTCATGGACCTCATTAACAAGTCTAGAAAAGAGCAACAAGCCCACAGTTAGCAGATTCTATTCTGTTCCTATTACTCAACGCTTTGCTGGTGCAGCATTATTTTACAGGCTCCTTGCTGACACAAATGTTTCTGACTTAGAGCTGGAACCTGGCTCCTATGCAATTCAGTGGCAAAACTATTGTTGACTTCAATGAGGAGGCAAGCATGCCGCTCTGAAACTACTAATTCATGGAAACAAACTGACACAACTGATCACTGCTTAGAAAAATTATGGAAAGTTGTAGTTTCCTGTTCTCATTTTATCTTTCTGGTTTGCTTTTTCTGGGTTTCTTTTTGTATTTGTGCACGTGCACGCGCGTGCACACACACACACACATACTTAAATAAAGGATAAAACCCAGAATATTTGAAAAATTAAGAGAAGAAAACAAATTAAGGTAGAACAAAATCTTTAGGGTGTTCAGAAAATTGTTGCATGTGAAACACTTTTACAGGATATACAATTAATAAACAGAGCTTAAAATTGTTTTTGAAGAACTTTATGTTGACTCTTGAGCAGCCCTCTCAAGAGAGTGGGGTGAGGTACTGGGCTTTGAGGTACAAGCTGGAGAGTGGTACAAAAGATGTTCCCATGGTTAGTGTAAAAGCCTAAGACCTGAGAGGCACAGAGTCAGTTCCCTGGCCTACCACAGACACGGTGTGTGATCTTGAGCAAATTACTTGGGCCCTGATCCTCAAAGACCTAACTTTGAAGGTAACTTCTATTGATTTCAAAGGGAGTTAGGATTCTGGGTACCTTTGTCAGTCTTTGCCTTAATTCCCCATCTTCATAATAGACGATATGGATATTTACCTTACTTGACCTCGTATACATAAAATATTATGAGGTGTCCAGATACTACCGTGACAAGGTCTGGGTAAGTACCAAAGACACATAGTCAGGAAACGTGTGGCTGAATCCAACTGGCTGCCTACTTGAATATTATGATTATTATAATTGAATATTATAGTATTTCCTAATGAGACGGAATGGTTATCTGCTTATGTTAGCAGAGGGAGAGCCAGGACAGCTGTGATGAGAGGAGAAAGGCTGTTGGGGAGAAAGCAGCTCCAATACAATGGTGAGCTGTACCTCTTCTTGAATGCCATCATCTAACTGTCCTCCTTGAGGCTAAAGAGAACTTCAGATAATTACAATTATTTGCAACGTTTTGAACATTTAATTTCTGCATGTGTACACAGGACTCTGTCACATCCACATGGGTATAAACTCAAAGAAATAATTATTCCTGCTCTTTGACAATGTAGGTGGGAAGTTACACCACCAGCCACCAAAATGTACCAGGGCATTTTCCTAGCAGTGTATGTAAAGATTTCTTGGTGGGATCAGCAGTCAAACAGCAGTTTTGAAATGGTGCTCCTTTCAAATCAATCCGCATCAGTCAGAACAACTTGTGTGGAATAACAGGAAAACATCTGCCGGGAGAAACACCAGTATCTAGGTGTGCTGTATCTCGAGCAGTCTTTGCTTCTCCTAGATATCATCCCACTTGTGACTTCTCTTAGGAGGAGAACGTGATTAATGCAACATCTGAAGCTTTAACTGCAATCACATTTTATTTTTTTAAAAGGCAAAGACTGAGGTTTTAAAAGGGTTTCCACTGAAACAACGGAAGCTGTTTTTGAGGCTTATGTGAATGGCCATGGAATTAGCATTGTGGGGGCTCTTAGGAGAAGTATAAGCACAATTATTACATAAAGAGCCACCAATGGAGAAAGGTCTTGCAATAGCAGACCTCTGGATAAACTAAACAGCGTTGTGATGTGGCAGATTTCCTCCTGAGTCAAGAACCATTAGAGAATTCCTGTGGCCGCAATCAGCCCAGCCCACTGCGCCTCCAAGACTTGTCATACCTGACACGTGACCTTAGAGCAGAGGATCCCAGGCCAGCCAGGAGAAGTGTATTCAAGAACAAGAAGAGCTAGAAACTGCCCCCCGCCCCCAACCCTGCACAAGGATTTATACAAGGATACTTATATGAGAAGGAATTGAGTGTTCCACCCCCCGAGCCCTTGGGGGAGGATCAGCCAGCTCTCTTTTCTCTCTTTTGAACCTTGGGACCCAGCCGGGGATACAGTAGGGTGAAAACCAATTTTTACATGAGGGGCCAAACCAAAAAAAAAGGAAAAAATGTTATTTGAGACAGGAAATGCTTTGCTATTCCAGCAAAATAAAAAAAAGCTGGAAAAAAGGGAATGTGCTTTGGTTAACTTGAAATATTTTGTTGAAACAGAAATGAAATAACATGCTTCATTTTGTGGTTATTTGAACATTATGTCTTTTTGTCCTTTTTAATTTACATGATCTTTTAAACAAGAAATGCCATGTTGGAATGTTTCAACATTTTCTATGTTTTTTTCCATTCATTTTTCTTACTAAAACTTTCCTAAATTCAATCTGCATATTTCAGTCTCCCCCTCACTCCTCTCCAAATTTCTGTCCACTGTCATGGGAATTTATGTCATTTTTCCTCCACAGAGAATAGATGCTGAGACTGCCTCCAATAACTTGAGGGACTGATTCTCTACCCATGTGCAATCCCTGATTGATCCATCTTGCAGGCCACAGAACTCTTCCTCTGTTTCCCATTCTTTTGGCTGCAGTACTTGATACTCGGGGCTGTGTGAAAGGGCACCGTTCCATTTCGACTTGAGTTTCGAGGTTTCAATAGAACAGCATTTCATTTCAAATTTCACTTTGACTTGAAGCCACTGTTCCGCTTTGCTTCGTCAAAACAGTGATGCTGTTTCGACGTTTCTCCCATGCGCTATAATGGGGAAGCTCGAAACAGCCTCTCTCATCTGGCAGGCAGATGGGGGCCCACAACCCTGGGAGGGCTGCGGGGGCTGTGCCAGTGCTCCCAGGGCTGCGGGCCTCCGATCTGCCTGCCAGATGAGGGAGGGAAGCCAGGTGCTGCCACCTGGGACCAGGAAGCTGGGGAAGGGAACTGAGCTCAGTTCCCCTCCCCAGCCCTACGATTGGGCTGGGGAAAGGAACTCAGCCCGGGCTCAGTTCCCTTCCCCTGCACTGTGATCGGCTTCCCGCAGCCCAGCAGTGGGAGGCAGGGAGAGCCAGGGCTGCACTCCTGGCTGAGCCACATGGGGCTGTGGGACCACTGGGAGCACAGCCCTGGTTCTCCCCTGTCTCCCACCACCTGACTGCTGGCTGCTTTGTAACCCGAAATGTTGGGCTGAGTTCCTTTCCCCAGCCCTAGATGGGCTGAGTTTCTGTCCTGAGCCTGATCTAGCGCTACGTGGGGGAACTCAGTTCAGCTAGCGGCTGGCTGCTTCAAAACTCGAAACGTTTCAAAACTTTTCAAACGTTTCGACTAGCCTCATTTTGTATTGAGGCCGTTTTGAAGGCCTTCATTTTGATTCGATTTCACTGTTTTGAGCTTGAAATTAGTTAAAACAGTGTCGAAACAAAACAGCCAGCAAAATTTCACGCAGCCCTACCACCCAACTCCAAAAGGCTCATTTGAGGAAGAGCAACTCTCTTTATCTTCCCCTTGTACAGAGCTGGCTGGGCCCTCTGAATAACTCCAGTGGAGACATTTAGTGGACTTCAGTTACATTGAATATAATGTAGTCTGGAGAGCTTCAGTTGCCAATGGCATGGGGGGTGTTGCTTCACTGTCCTGGTCAGCTTTATTAGAAAGCAACAGAAATAAGAGCAAGGGTGATAGTCTGCCTGACTGATGCCAGTGGTAAAACTTCCATTGACTTCATTAGGTTCCCTCACTAGGTTTCTATTAGTTGCAGGGCTGTGGGAGCCAAGAAGCTGCTGAATCTTTGGAGCCAGACTGCAAAGATTAGTGAATGTACATGACCACCTCAGTTCTATTCTAGACATTTGGCACCTTGGTAACTAGTGTTCCTCTCTCAAAACAGAAACACACAAAACACTTGCAAGACTGGAATAGTAAAGGCTTGGTCTTACAAGGCACTGAGTAAGGATTGTTTTTAAGGATTGTTTTTATCTCATAGAAGAAATTCAGCTGCTTTGCAGGATTGAGCTGTAACCGGTTCACACTGTAAAGATAAAAATCATGGCATGACAGTTTTGAACTCTTTTCTGTATCTCTCCTTTAAGAAAGGAAGCCATTCAGGGCCCCCTTTGTTGGAGAAAATCATTTGTATACAATTATCACAACACTACCTGAAGCCTGGGATGAATCCATGACTGCATTTAAGATTATTATAAATTGATTCTTATTCACCTATGCTTGTCATGTTGCAAAACTACCATTTTCCATTGGCATGAAACAGCCATGGAATGGGTGGTTGCTTCTAACATCAATCATGCTCATTCACATTTCCTTATATCAGATGGCGCCTCTATGTGCCCGTCTTACCGTAATTGGGCAGAGTCCCGGCACAGCTCCACATTAGGTCTCCGTGTGCGCTCATCCAGCCGTGTGTGGGCTACCTTTAGGGGAGGTCCTTTGTCCCTAATGGCTTTTCTAATGGCTTCTATGGTCATCTCAGTCTGGAAGATTTCCTGTAGAGTCTGACATTTAAAAATATGCACAAATGAATTATGCTATTTAAACAACACACGCACACACACACACTCTCCATTCCCCCTCAATCCTCTATCAGTCTGCAGGAAATCCTGAATTCAAGAAGCTGCCAGTGTTATATGTTGTAGAACCTTTGACTTTTAGGTGATAGCTGGTTGCCAGGGTTGTGTTTTGCTCTATGCTAACAAAGGAGAAAGAGAAGTAAACAGCTTGTCTGTACAGTTCATTTTCTAAAGGTAGCATTGATATTGGGCCCACTCCAATACTTAATGATGTTTATGGCTATCCTGCTAAGACTTGAATGGAAGCAGGACTGTGCTCAGATAGAAATCCGGGACTCTTGCAAATTCAGGAGCAGAAACCCTGAGTAAGGGTCTTTTCTCAAACTTATCTTTAGAGAAGAAAACAGTTTCCAGTTGTTCGGTCTGTCCTCCTTGGTGTAGCTACCAACCAAAACTAGATTTTGCAGTAAAGAATAGATCTATTGGATTGTTGGCTCCCTTGGATACCAGATTCAGGGATGATTTGTCCAGCAAGATAAACCAGAAAGGACCAGTAGAAACCATGAGGCTATAAAAGTTTCTATAAAATACACCTGTTCGCATGGCTTATTTCTTTGCACCTCAAGGGGCAATCACAGTGTGGGGAGGCAGGTGACGGTACTGTCAATGGGGGCAATCATGATATCCAGTAGAGTAAATATGATAAGAGTCCTGTCACCAAAAGATGCAAAGTGGATGAGTTGAATACATGCTAGATCCCCTAGTTATGGCTACCTCTTTGTCAGCAAGAAAAAAGAAATGTACTATATAATCAACCCAACACGCAAAACAAAATATGGTGTCAGGTAAAAATGATATTGTTGGGTGTGTCTTGTTGAAAATTTCCAAATTTTCATTTTTTCAGAGAGTTTTTTTTTGTAAATGTTGAGATTCAGTCAGAAAATGATAATAAATAAATAGTTTCTACTTTTTTGGTGAAATGTTTCTATATACTTTGACATCCTTCTCCTCTAAAGCCAAAGAACCCACAGGGAAGCTCTAATTTCCAAGCAACAACCTTAAGAAAAAAGGCAGAAAGTTCTGCTTACCTTAGCCAGGTGGGCCTGAATCTTATTTTTGGCATCAGCTGTCTCTGCAATGCGATTGGTGAAGGCAACATTCACTTTGTTAAACTGGTTCCACATCTCATTTGCAGTCACAACCAGCAGGTTTTCAATATCATCCCTCAGTTTGGAGGAGGCAGTCCGTTCACTCTGCGAGCGTAAAATATTATCATCTGTAAACTTGGCCCAGGACTCTGGCACAGAGATCCTAGCAAAACAAAACAAGAAGAATACAATAAACACAATGCTGTCAAGGCTACTACAGGAAATTATATATCCCAATAGGGAGGAAGTTGGATTAAAATGATCCTTGCAAGAAATTCATGACCCTAACTCTACTGCATAAAAGAGACTACGCCCAGAATGCAGTTTATCAACTAATGCTAATCTTTATCATCCTAAAAAATATGAAATATTCCATATTTTAAAGACAGTTCTGAAATTGTATGCAGGCTAAAAAACACATCGTCTCACAGTCCGGCCAGCATTTTAGTCATGTTGAAGATTTTAGTGATACCACATATTTATAAATATATTGATTATTTGCATACTCCAGGTGACATAAAGATATACTGATTATTTGCATACTCCAGGTGACATAAAGATATATTGATTATTTGCATACTCCAGGTGACAAAGTTTCAAGATGAAGGGTAACATACAATCAAGTTATTCTGTTCAGTAATAGTGAAAACAACTTTATACAAGTGAGGTGGAATATAGTCTGATATTCAGTTCCCTTTCTTCCTGACCCTACTTTCACATTTGGAGTGACATTCACACCTATTGTAAGGGCCAGAATAAAGTCAATGTGGGACTTAAATCCTATTTAAAACCCATTTTCCAGCCTCAGCACATTTTACCCTCTAAAAGTTTATCAACTTTGAGCTTCATTCCTTTTGTTCATGATTCCCTTTTTCTTCCAAATTCTCCTGAACCCAAAAGGCAGAGAATGAAACAGTTCTTAAGGAATCTATTCCATAAAATGCACATACCTATGTGAACATGTTCATTCCTCTAGTCCTCTGCCAGTTATAGGATACTCACCCAAGTACTGATTTATATCATCATTTGTTCATACAGGCTAGGGACAGACATTCAAAAAGCCTGAGCCTGAATTGATTCAATCTTTGCAGGTTAGTCTAACTTGGCTAGGCTGAATCAGTTTGTAACTGCATAGATATCCCAAAAATGCAGGCACATGCCTTCATTGGCTC